GGCGGGAACCAAGACAGACAACAAGAATCGCGAATGTTGTGTTAACTTTATTCGGCTTATCAATCTACCAACCCCGGCCCGTAAACATGAATAAACTGAAAAATATGTCAATAGAATGTTATTACAAGCTTATTAGGCTAGCTCGGTCTTGCAGCAAACAGCAATGGCCCATACGCTGTTGTCATTTCCACCATTCACAGCCTTGCACGCATCCTCGACTGTAAATAAAAATAAAAACGTAAGTCGGGTCAGAATATTTTCGCTGGTAGTGTAATGGTGGACGAAACTACAATGTCATTTGTATCAGTTACGCCCTTTGTCGGAAGTTACAGTTATTTGTCGATAGGTGGCGTAGCTAACGCATTTTTGTGCATGCCGGCCAGGTCAGTGGAATATGTGTTGCCTCTTCAAGAAGTACTAACAGGGTCACTTGACTCCGAACTGTCAATAAAACCTACAGTGACATTCAAGTTGCTTCTTACCGTGACTACTCAGAAGAGAAGAAACAACATAACTGACTGGTGGCAAAAAATTAAAACAAAAAAATTTAAAACAAATCCAGGTCATTTTTCTCAGAGTTTTAAAAGAAAAGCGAACAGTAAAATGTCCACGAAATTTCATTATATAGTAAAAAATAAAATCCGTGTGCGCACCAATTTTTGAAAAACAAATTCACTGGAAACTACCTATTTCCTGGGTCTGAAACATACGAGGTTGTGTGTATTATCAATGCGCCAACGAAGCTTCCTATCACGTAGACATTGATAAAGAAACTGACATACCTGCGTCTTGATGCAAATCGAAATGATCTATATATGCCCCATCGTTGTATTTCCAGAAAGTATAAGACATACAACCGGTCATTGTCCAACCATTGTCGCAAGTCACAGAAGCAAAGTCGCCATGCTTACTACCACTTGGTGGACTCCATTTCTCTTTGCATATCATGTCGGGGGCGCTGCAACAGGCGGCGTAAGACCATACACCTTAAAAACACATCCTTAATAACTTAATAAGTGTCTAAGCATATTGCAAATATCCAGGATTGTCTGGATTCGCAAAAATAGGCACATCACTAATTCTGAGGGAGGAAAGGTTCGAGTTACGTATACATTTCATACAACAAATGTTTGTAGGTTAATCGATCACCTATCGATCAACTAGGAATGAAGGCGCTATCGGTATCGAACAGATAGTCGCATGATATTAAGCGACACTGAAAACAAATTTACACAATTTCTCGAAGTGCAATATTGTTTTATTTGGTGAAATTATTGTCTTTCTTTCCCTGCCGTTCGGCCCAGTACCTTTTTTAATAAATGCATCGGAAGTTTATAAATTGCGACCTCTAGCGACGAACTAAATTTTATGACGTAAATGGTTGTCAGTGACTCGTTGTCTATATCGTCGACCATGTTGTTTTGTTTTTTTTCTGTGGTCAATGAACATGCCCATTTAAAGGCAGATTCTTAACACAGAACAAATACACAACCAAAAAAAACTGTTTATTTAAACGATGTTGCTCACTGCCTATTTGTTTTAACGTCACAAAATCAATTTGCCTCTAGAGGGCGGGACAAACAGTAACTGTCCATTGTACGTTACCTGCACCACCATATCCATTTTGAGCGAAGCACTTCATACTGTTGAAGCTGGAAAGTTCGGTTTTTTGATCGGGAGCGTCCGGAAGAGCACCATCTATTTCGCGCCAGTTCGTGTATGCCATGCAGTCTAAAATGCGAATAGGACGAATACAAAAATCATGATCTTTTTAATTGTAAGCGTATTTCTTATTTTTTGGGGGGAGAAAACTTGAAATAAATGTCTTGGCAACGCTTCAGTTTATATTGCTAAAACACAGATTTAAAGAACCAAAAGTACTCTGTCATATATTTCAACATACTAGTAGTCTAGAATAATATTCTTATTCTTTTGTTTTTATTTAATATAGAAGGCTCTTTGACTTTAGTTTAACCATTTTGGTGTAGGTAATCTCACAGGTGTTTGTTATTTACGAATGGTGTTACTTGTTTATTATTAATTTAATGCACACCATTTGGTATTGAAAACATATTACTGCAAGAGTCTCTTAGGTACCAGTGAGGGCGTGTTTGTTAATTATTGAATGAAGAAGTGTGGCTAACTTATGAAGTTCAATGTGAAAAGTGTGGTATTTACAATGTCTAATTGTGTCAAGTGTGGCGTTTACAATATCTATTTGTGTCAAGTGTGGCGTTTACAATATCTAATTGTGTCAAGTGTGGCGTTTACAATATCTAATTGTGTCGAATGTGGCGTTTACAATATCTATTTGTGTAAAGTGTGGCGTTTACAATATCTAATTGTGTCAAGTGTGGCGTTTACAATATCTAATTGTGTCAAGTGTGGCATTTACATTATCTAATTGTGTCAAGTGTGACGTTTACAATATCTAATTGTGTCGAATGTGGCGTTTACAATATCTAATTGTGTAAAGTTTTACTACTAAGTGCAAGTGTGGCGTTTACAATATATATTAGTGTCAAGTATGACATTTACAATAGCTATTTGTGCCAAGTGTGGCGTTTACAATATCTAATTGTGTCAAGTGTGGCGTTTACAATATATATTAGTGTCAAGTATGACATTTTGACATTTACAATAGCTATTTGTGCCAAGTGTGGCGTTTACAATATCTAATTGTGTCAAGTGTGGCGTTTACAATATCTAATTGTGTCAAGTGTGGCGTTTACAATATATATTAGTGTCAAGTATGACATTTACAATATCTAATTGTGTCACGTGTAGCGTTTACAATATCTAATTGTGCCAAGTGTAGCATTTACAATATCTAATTGTGCCAAGTGTGGCGTTTACAATATA